CGCCCGGACTTTGCCGCCGGTGCCACAGGGGGTGTGAGACCTGTTCGGGCCGGGCCCCGACGCAGTGCCTGTCCTGCCGCCGCGGGTTCTATCACCACCAGGAGGTGAACACCTGTGTGACCCACTGTCCCGCCGGATTTTATGCCGATGAAAGTAAGTGGCATGGCCGCGGGTCCCTGTCTGGGCTGGCATCCTCTCCTGGGAGAACCTTCTAGCCCTCTGCTTCCCAGTGCGGTCGCCTCTGTCACCACCACCCTCAGTCCTCAGATTCAGCCTCCCCCGGATGAAGCCAGAACACGCCTGTTGTTCCAAAAAGGGGAAACAGGTGGCTCCCTTAAAAAGACCATTTTACCCCCTTAGGATATTGCCATAGGGCATGCGCACTGACCGGAAAGAGACAGAGAGAGGGAGAGAGAGAGAGGGAGAAATCACCTCTCAGTGGGGATGGCCACACCGCAGTCCCTTCTCCATTCTCCTCTCTGGGTTTTGGACACCTGTGCACACGTACCCAGCATGATTTTCAAGCTGCTGGGCCCAGGACTCAAACTACAGTCGGCCATGTGGGAGTCCAGCACCGACCGTAACCATCACCTAATGGCCCCAGAAAATTTTTTTTCAATTTAATTTTTTTTTATTGTTTATTTTTTTTTTTTTTAGGTTTTTAATCATAGGGTGCATGAACCCACTGGAGAGACAGAGACACAGAGAGAGAAAGCGAGAAATCAGTGATCTCTTTCTGTCTCTCTGGTGAGCACAGTACCCTTTAGCAAAAAGCCTCTCAAAAGAAAATTATTTATTTTTAGTTGTTATTATTATTATTTAATTTGACCACAGAGAGACGGTGAGAGATAGAGAAAGGAAAAGTGAGAAAGCAGCACCAGTAATGGCTATGTCACTGGACTCCCACGTAGTCGACCGCGGTTCGAGTCCCGGACCTGGTGGCTTAAACTCACGCCAGGCGCGTGTGCATGCGTGCCCAAGATCCTGAGAGGAGAATGGAGGAGAAGGGATTGCGGCGTGGCCATCCCCCCTGGGGGTGATTTCTCGCTTTCTGTCTCTCTGTCTCTGTCTCTCTTTCTAGCGAGTGCCCGCACCCGATAGCTAAAACCTCTCAAAAAAAAAAAAAAAAAAAGAAAAAAAAGAAAGAAAGCTGCCAGGTCCAGGATTCAAACCACAATTGGTCATGTGGAAGTCCACTGCTTTGATTACTCTGCCACCTCTTAGCCCCAAAGCTCTGCAAATCTTTTTTATAAAAAGAAAAGGGGGACCAGCAGGTGGCGTGGTGGTCAAGGTGCTGGACACTCCCACATGGCTGACCACGGTTCGAGTCCTGGACCTGGTGGCTTGCTTTCTCACTTCCCCTCTCTGTCTCTTTTTCTGGTCGAATTAAAATAAATGAATGAATAAATCAAATTAAATATTTTTTAAAAAACAGAATAAAAAGAAAAGGAAGTGGGAGGCCTGAATCCTCCTGGGCGTGGGGTCCCGAATTGGTCTCTGGCTGTCTTCCATGATCCGTTCCGGGGACGGACAGACAGACGCTGGAGAAGAGCTGCCTCTAGTAACCTCGCTGGGAAAGGCTGGAGTCCCGTCTGCCCTAATTCGATTCCTACAGAGACTCTCGTCCCTCTTTCCTCCCCTTGCTGTTTTTCTCCAGGTCAGAAGAATTGCCTGCAATGCCACCCGAGCTGTAAAAAGTGCACGGACGAGCCCGAGAAATGCACTGTCTGTAAAGAAGGATTCAGGTACACACCCTCCTTGAAATGTGAGCCCTACCGAAGTGTGGGTGCTGTGTCCGTTTCCGTCCCTGACTTCCCAGCCTTGGCATCTTTTCCTAAAAGTTCATTCTTCTGGGACCAGCAGTTAGCCTAATGGCTATGTCGCCGGATTCCCATGTAGTTGATCACGGTTCACGTCCTGGACCTGGTGGCTTAAAACTCACGCTGGGCATGTGTGCGTGCGTGCCCAAGATCCCGAGAGAACAGAGGAGAAGGGATTGTGGCATGGCCATCCCCCCAGGGGCTGATTTCTCGCTTTCTGTCTCTCTGTCTCTCTCTGTCTGGCGAGCGCACGTGCCCTATAGCAAAA